CTACTCAATAAGTGGAAACAAAAAACATAGAATTCTTATGCAAAAGAGAAGAAAAGTAGTATTTAAGAACTCTTATCAGTTTTTTGTCACACAGTATTACTCCATCATGTTAACTGCCTTTTATCTACTAAGGTGTGATTCCACTAAAGGGTTTCTCCATACAAATTATATTTGTTGAAGACTTTTAAGTGGAGTTCCAAAAGGGAAAAAGATCTTCTACAGAGTGGTTTATCCCCCCAATGGGCAGAATGGCCAAGACTGGGGCAGAACAAATCCAGGAGCCTGCAACTCCTTCCAAGTCTCACACGTGGGTGCAGTGCCCCAACTACTTGGGTCATCTACCAACTTCCCAGTAGCATTAATAGTGGCTTGGGTCTGACATGGAGCAGCTGAGACTAGAGTTGGTTCTAAGAGATGGTGGCATTACAAGTAATGACTTACCCTGCTGTGTCATAATGCTTGCCCCAAGTTACATTTGCAGTACATTCTGAAATTTTATTGAAGTTTACTGTATAGTAGTGGTTTTCCCACTTCTATTTGTCCTAGGACTTTTACTATGTACATGTTCTCTGATAAGGAGAAATGACTTATGGCAGAATGTTTTCTGAGGTATGTTCACTTCCTCATCTCTAAAGTCTCTTGGTCTAAGCTAACTACTGACTTTGGCAAAGAGATTACTCATATTCAATATAAAGCTAGAGCTTTCTTTTCCTTTGTGGAAGCCTTCTGATGTCCTTTTCATCTACTTAAAAGATTTTTTAAATACTATATTCAAAAGGTTTCCCTGCTTTGTGAAATCTAAGCCTATGTACGATTCAATTCCAGGATATGCTTTACCACATTCATTAACTTCACAAGATTTCTCTGCTTTGTGAATCATCTGATATTAAGGAGAATTGATTTCTGTTTAAAGATTTCAACATTTATTTCAAAGAGCCATACAGAGATAGGAGAGGCGGAGAGGGAGAGGGAGAGGCAGAGAGGGAGAGGCGGAGAGGGAGAGGGAGAGGCGGAAAGGGAGAGGTCTTCCATCCACTGGTTCATTCCCCAATTGGCTGAAACAGCTGGAGCTCAGCCGATTGAAGCAAGAGCCAGAAGCTTCTTCCAGGTCTCCCAGATGGGTGCAATGGCCCAAGAATTTGGGCCATCTACTGCTTACCCAGGCCATAGCAGAGAGCTGGATTGGAAGTGGAGCAGCCGGGACTCGAACCAGCACCCATATATGGCAGTGGCCCCATCCACTACACCACAGTGCCAGCCCCTGGCTAAAGGATTGTCCACATTCATTATATCTACAAGATTTCTCTTAGTTCTTTGATGTGTGATGAGGTGTGAATTCCAGAAAAATGCCTTGTCACACATATTACATTGATTTCTTGGAAAACAATCTTCTACAATTGATGTATTCATGGTTTCATTCCCACTTGGATTCTGTTAAGAGGTACCCTGGTAGAAAGCTTTTCCAGTATTTAGTGTAGTCATAAGATCTTCGATGCTGTATGAATTTTCTGGTGTGTTATGAGGTTTGACTTCTGGCAAAAGGCTTTTCCACACTTGTTGCATTCATAAGGTTTCTCCCCTGTGTGAATTCTTTCATGCCTACTGAAAGATGACGCAAAAGGCTTTTGCACACGCAGTACATTCCTAAGGTTTCTCTCCTGTGTGAACTCTCTGGTGTCTTAGGAGATGTGACTTCTGGTAAAAGGCTTTTCCACATTTTTTGCATTCATAACGTTTCTCCCCTTATGGCGTCTCTGATGTATACAGAGAATTGATTTATGGCAAAAGGCTTTCCCACACTCATTACACTTATGAGGTTTCTCTCCTGGTGTGTAATTAAGTATGACTTCCAGCCAAAGGTGTTTCCACATTCATTACATTCATAAGGTTTTGCCCCTGTGTGAATTCTCTCATGTGTACTGAGCATCAATTTATTACCAAAGGCTTCTCCACACTCACTACATTCATAAGGTTTCTCCCCTGTGTGAATTCTCTCATGTTTTACAAGGTCTGATTTGCACCAAAAGGCTTTCTCACAAATATTACATTTATAAGGTTTCTCTCCTGTGTGAATTCTCTGATGCAAGATGAAATATGACTTCCAGCCAAAGGCTTTCCCACATTCATTACATTCATAAGGTTTCTCCCCTGTGTGAATTTTCTGATGTGTTAAGAGGTGTGACTTCTGGCAGAAGGCTTTTCCACATTCATTACATTTGTAAGGTTTCTCTCCTGTATGAATTTTCTGATGTGCACAGAGGAGTGACTGATTACTAAAAGCTTTTCCACACTCCTTACATTCACAAGGTGTCTCCCCAGTGTGAATTCTCTGATGTCTAGTGAGGTATGCCTTTTGATAAAAGGCTTTTCCACACACATTACATTCAAATGGTTTCTCTCTGGTGTGAATCCTCTGATGTGCTGTGAGGTGTGATTTCCGGCCAAACACTTTTTCACATGTGTTACACTCATAGGGTTTCACAACCATTTTCATTCCAGTGAGGTTTGACTCCTGGTAAATGTTTTGTCCACACTCATTGCACCCAAAGGGCTTTTCTCCTATGTGAGTCCTGTAATGGATCATGCAGCAAGATTTACAGCTAAAAGATTTCCCACAGGCTTTACACACATAAGGTTTCTTTCCAGTATGCGTTCTCTGATTCACTGTAATGTCTGATTTGTTACTGATAGTTTCCTCATACACACTGAATTCAGAGTTTCACTGTTGTGTGAGGTAACAAACCCACTTGCTGCTTACTGAGGTCGGAATTTTTATGGAAAGTTTTCTTTCCTATGTGAGTTATCTTTCCAACAATGACAGCTGACTTCTTATAGGTCTCTTCCATATGCTCTCTCTCAAATGTAAACACTACCTTCTTCCTTTTTAAGGCTTTTGTTTGTGCACTGTGTTCTAATGGTAATGGCTGCTCTGCAGTCTGAATCTTGTGAGGTTGACTAGAAGGTTCACAGCATTGGGAAGAGTTCCCAGGTACATTACTGTCACCAGATTTCTCACCAGTTTGCATCTCACTAGGGTCATTAGGGAGATACACATCATGGAATGTTCTGTATGCCTCAGGTTTCATTCTCTTTTTGATAACTGATTTTGAAATATGGCTTGAACTTAAATTAGGTATTTTTCTTAATTCAACTCTCTTGTGAACTGATGTATTGTTATTTGTCATTACACCTGGAATCAAATTTATGTCTTCACTTTCCTGGTTGGGGCCACTGAGGTCATATCTTTTCTGGGCTGCTGAAATGAAAAAGCAAACAAAAACACTGTTCATGAATCACATCTATGTGTTTCTCTTGGAATGCTCATGTAAAAGGAATGAAGGGACTTGATATCTCAGTGTCATTTAGCTTTAGTATAATTTGTAAGATATTTATGACCATTAAATGGCTTTTCCTCTTAATACATTAACATAATAAACCATACCAATAGGTTTTCCCAATGTTCAGTCATGATCTCTTTACTATTTTAAATGTAAAAAAATGAGTTATATGGTAAAGTGGGTTAAACGAGTGCTTATAATGTCTGCTTCATATAATGGACACCTGCACCCATTCCACTTTGAGCTCCAGCTACACTGCTTCATATGCCATTTTCTGGAATGTAAACTGGGAAGTGGCATATGATGGTTCATGTGGTTGGATCCTACACACATTTGAGAGACCCAGATGGGGTCTTGAGCGACCCAGGCCTTTGTCTTTACACTGAGTGCTTTCAAGCAGTTCATTTTTCCCTGTCCTTTTTCCTTACCTTTTTTTCTCATAAAACTTGTGTTTAGAGATTGTCCTGTGGTGTATAAAGTTAAGCCTCCACCTGCAGCAACAACATCCCAGGTGTTCACTGGTTTGAGTCCTAGCTGTTCAACTTCTGAACCAGCTCCCTCTTAATGGTCTGGGAAGGCAGTGAATACACAATTATTCTTAAGTGCTGAAACTTAACTGAAAAGTGATCACTGTTAAATATAAGAGTGGGAATAAGAGAGGGAAGAGATGTGCAATTCGGGACATGCTCAAGCTGACTTACCTCAAACAGTAGAGTTAGAAACATACCAGGGGATTCCAATTCAATCCCATCAAGGTGGTATGTACCAATGCCATCTCACTAGTCCCAGTGATCAATTTCTGTTCACAATTGATCATAATGATAGGACTAAGAGCCAAAGGGATCACATAAACAAGACTAGTGTCTGCAAATACTCGCTGATAGAATAAAAAAGGGAGGAGAACGATCCAACATGGGAAGTGAGATACACAGCAGACCCATAGAATGGCAGATGTCCTAAACAGCACTCTGGCCTCAGAATCAGCCCTTAAGGCATGTGGATCCGGCTGAAAAGCCCATGAGAGTATTTCAGGCATGGAAAGCCAAAACACTCTAGAGAAAAAAAAAAAAAAACTAAATGAAAGATCTCCGCGAGTGAGATCCCAGTGGAAAGAACAGGTCATCAAAGAAGGAGGTACCTTTCTCTGAAGGGAGGAGAGAACTTCCACTTTGACCATGGCCTTGTCTAAATATGATCAGAGTAGGTGAACTCAGGGGGCTTCCATAGCCTTGGCAACTCATGACAAGAGCCTAGGGTGATTACTGAGGCCATAAACAAGAGTGTCACTTTGTTAAGTCAACAACAGGAGTCACTGTGCACTTACTCCTCATGTAGGATCTCTGTCCGTAATGTGCTGTACATTGAGATTTAATGCTATAACTAGTACTCAAACAGAATTTTTCACTTTATGTTTCTGTGTGGGAGCAAACTGTTGAAATCTTTACTTAATATATGCTAAACTGATCTTCTGTATATAAAGAGAATCGAAAATGAATCTTGATGTGAATGGAAGGGGGGAGGGAGAGGGAAAGGGGAGGGTTGTGGGTGGGAGGGACATTATGGGGGGAAGTCATTGTAATCCATAAGCTGTACTTTGGAAATTTATATTCATTAAATAAAAGTTAAAAAAAAAAAAAAAGAAAGATGGCCTGAGTACTTGGGCCCCTACAACCACTTAGGAATACCTGATGAATCTCTTGTCTTGTGGATTCAGTCTGGCCCAGTCTTGGCCATTGTGGCTATTTGGTGAGTGAACCAGTGGGTAGAAGATATCTCTCTCACTCTTTGTATTTCACCTTCCCAATAAAATAATTTTTTAAAAGCATTTTGTGTTTTCCTGCTATCTTTCAGTCTAGAAGATAGACCAGTTTATTGGATCATTTACTTGCAGGTAGTGGAGAGGGACAAGTGCTTATATCCTAAGCAAGATCATAATTTAGGAAGAGAAAATGGACCTATGGTTGTTTCATGTTCAGTCATCTCGTTTGAATGGCATTTGTGGTTTTTCTAGTGAAAATCTGATTTTATCTGTACTCTGATGACAGCTCTCTCCATTTTCACAGGGAAACATGACATCTTCAGCTTCTCTGAACCACAACAGATAAAGAAAAATCCCAATACATTCCCTGAGTATTAGCTCCCTACCAGATTAAGGTACTGTTTTTGTAATGCAGTGTCTGCTCATCTTGTTTTAGAATTGTTTACTCTAGCTCATTCTGAGATCAACAGCCCTGCTTCTCTCCTATCAATTGCCTATATACACAATCCTCCTTGATAATTTGAGTTTCTGAAGGCCTTTGTTTTAAGTATTGTAGGATAAGTTGTCTCCTAGTTTCACAGAATATTGTTTCTCTTACACCTTTATCTTTTTATTTTTCAATTACATTGAAAGAAGGGAGAATTCACACTTCAAACTCAATTAGTAAACAAAACTGGGCCATTCAACAAAAGCATGGTCTGACTTGAACTCAGGACCCAGAATCTCCACTTCTGTTAGTGAAGAATTATTACTGGATATCAAAACAATCAAACAGCATAGTTACCAAGAGTAGGAGAGGGAGAGAAATGTATACTTCTGAGTCTTCCCTGGATACTACAGAATACTTATGTCTGATTCATGAAACCAGCTGTCTTCTGGGCTGGGATTTGGAAAAGTTAATGAGAAGAGACCCAGTCAACATCTGCTTCACTCTTTCTGTCAAGGCCTCCCTGTACACTATGTGCAGACTGACCTGGGAACCTCTGATATAGGCCTTCTTCCACTATCCATGGTTCTGCTCCTTGCTCCAACTTGCAGATCAAGTGAGGTTTGGTAATGCAGTGCCCTATTAATGGGAAAATAATGTAAGACTTGGTCAAATCACTAACTTAGATTATTTAAAGGATAACAGGTAGGTCTTGCAGCTGTATGATGGAGGTTCTGATTTGAATCCTTTCCTAGAAAGTTGATACTCATTCTTTACAGACTCAAATTCTATACCCATCCAGCATGAAACTTCAAAAGCATTCACTGATTTGTCAAATCAGAAAACGTTTCAGTTGGGCACAGCAGGGGTGTTACTCACCTAAGGACTGCAGGTTGTTGTAGATCTCTAGCATTGTATCCCTATACAGGATTCTCTGAGCACTGTTCAAGTTTTGCCACTCCTCCCAGGTGAAGTCCACAGTCAGGTCTTCAAATGATACCAACACCTGTAAAAAAAAACATTCATTAGGGGTCGGCACCATGGCTCACTTGGCTAATCCTCTGTCTGCAGCACCGGCATCCCACATAGGCACCAGGTTCTAGTCCACAGCAGAGAGCTGGACTGGAAGAGGAGCAACTGGGACTAGAACCTGGCACCCATATGGGGTGCCAGCGCCACAGGCAGAGGATTAAGCAAGTGAGCCATGGTGCCAGCCCCAAGAATTTTTTTTTTTTTTTAAATTTTTAATTTTTTTAAACTTTTATTTAATGAATATAAATTTCCAGAGTACAGCTTATGGATTACAATGGTTCCCCCCCCCCATAACTTCCCTCCCACCCACAACCCTCCCCTTTCCCTCTCCCTCCCCCCTTCCATTCACATCAAGATTCATTTTCAATTCTCTTTATTTACAGATCAGTTTAGCATATATTAAGTAAAGGTTTCAACAGTTTGCACCCACATAGAAACACAAAGTGAAAAATACTGTTTGAGTACTAATTATAGCATTAAATCTCAATGTACAGCACATTACGGACAGAGATCCTACATGAGGAGTAAGTGCACAGTGACTCCTGTTGTTGACTTAACAAAGTGACACTCTTGTTTATGGCCTCAGTAATCACCCTAGGCTCTTGTCATGAGTTGCCAAGGCTATGGAAGCCCCCTGAGTTCACCAACTCTGAACATATTTAGACAAGGTCGTAGTCAAAGTGGAAGTTCTCTCCTCCCTTCAGAGAAAGGTACCTCCTTCTTTGATGACCTGTTTTTTTCACTGGGATCTCACTCGCGGAGATCTTTCATTTAGGGTTGTGTGTTTTTTTTTTTTTTTTTTTTTTTTTTTTTTTGCCAGAGTGTTTTGGCTTTCCATGCCTGAAATACTCTCATGGGCTTTTCAGCCAGATCCGCGTGCCTTAAGGGCTGATCCAAGAATTACTTTCAATTAACTTCATAGCGTGTGTTTCTTGCATGCCTCTGGTAAGATGCTGCTACTTTTGCGAGCTATAACAGAAAGCAAAATCTAAATGAAAATATCTGCCTCTATATTAATTGAATAATTCCAAAATAAATCACTACAATAGAGTATCCTTTATTATTCTGTAAGTAATCCTTCTCCTAATAATTCTGAAAGAAATGCACAGTATGATCTGCAGACATAAAGTATGACCATATTATTAAATTAACATGTTAGATGGAGGCACAGTTTCAATATCAATCACCATAAAGTTAAAAGTTTCAAACAGATTTTTCTATATTCTCAGGTTGCAGTTCACTGAAACACCAAAAACATTTTTAGATATTTTGCATGAGTATGTTTTCCTGAATAGGATACAATGTAAGAGCACAAAGAACATGGGCCAGTAATTCTTCCCACCCCACCCTCCCTCCTGCCCTCATTCCTACCCTTCTTCCTCCTTCCTCTCATATTCCATTTCTTCATTTTTTACAAAGAACTATTTTCAATTAACTTTATACTCATAAGATTAAACCTACACTAAAAAGGAGTTCAAATAGGGGCTAGTGCTGTGGCACAGTGGGTAAAGCCGCTGCCTGCAGTGCCAGCATTCCATATGGGTGCCAGTTCAAGTCCTGGCTACTCCATTTCTGAACCAGCTCTCTGCTATGACCTGGGAAAGCAGTAGAAGACTGCCCAAGTCCTTGGGCCCCTGCACCCACATAGGAGTCCTGGAAGAAGTTCCTGGCTCCAGGCTTTGGATCGACACAGCTCCAGGCATTGCAGCGAACTGGGGAGTGAACCAGCACATGGAAGACCTCTCTCTCTGCCTCTCCTCTCTCTGTGCAACTGTGACTTTCAAATAAATAAATCTTTATTTAAAAAAATAGCATGAAGAAAAAAAACACACTCTTCCTCAACAGTCAAAACAAGGGCTGTCCAAAATCATCACATAAAAAACACACACACTCTATTAGTTACCACATATCAGAGAGAACACATGGTATTTGTCTCTTTGAGGCTACCTTATTTCACTAAATATAATGGTTTCCAGTTGCATCCATTTTGTTGCAAATAAAAGGATTTCATTTTATTTTTTACTGCGTTCTAGTATTCCATAGTGTATATATACCATAATTTCTTTATCCAGTCTCCAGTTTATGGACATCTGGGTTGATTCCGTATCTTAGCTATTGAGAATTGACTGCAATAAACCTGAGCATACAAATCACTCTTTCATATGCTGATTTTGAGCCAGTGCTGCGACTCACTAGGCTAATCCTCCACCTTGCGGCACTGGCACACCAGGTTCTAGTCCCGGTTGCCCCTCTTCCAGGCCAGCTCTCTGCTGTGGCCAGGGAGTGCAGTGGAGGATGGCCCAAGTGCTTGGGCCCTGCACCCCATGGGAGACCAGGAGAAGCACCTGGCTCCTGGCTTCGGATCAGCACGGTGCACCGGCCGCTGTGGCCATTGGAGGGTGAACCAACGGCAAAAGGAAGACATTTCTCTCTCTCTCTCTCTCTCTCTCTCTCTCTCACCGTCCACTCTGTCTGTCAAAAAAAAAATGTAACTTTTGCTTTTCAGGAGTTTACAATAGAGGAACATATGCTGATTTCATTTCCTTTAGGTAAATTCCTAGAGTAAATTGCCTGGGTCATGGTGTAAGTCAATATTCAGATTTCTCCAAAACAAAATTCTATAAAAGGATTGGCTATTATGGGGGAAGAGAAATTTCAGTATGTCATGACCATGGCCCACTCATCTTTGATATTATTTCTTTTGAGATGATCATATATCCTAATCCATTCAGGGAAACTCTTACAGGGAATATGATGTCAGCCAAGCAACTGGGAGTAGAGATACACTCTGTCACTTCTGAATACGGTTCTACTTGGTTCAATTCCCTCTTCTGTGTAAAGCAAAAATAGCCAACATAGTTCCAAAAAAGGCAATTCTAGCATGCTGACAAAAATAGATTTCATACACATCTTGATGGTGGAAGCCCTGTGGAGGATGATTGTTACATAACAATAATTTACTTCACTACCCTGATATTCTGAGGCACCCAGAATAAGCATCTGCTAGAGCAATTGATCCTCTCAGAAAATGGCACTGCAAGTCTACAGAATGGCCCTATGGGCTTTTCAATAGTCTTAGAGACATGTATCAAAAAATGCCACAGTTAATCCATAGTTCACACTAAGTGTCTAAGAAATTAAGAACTATATGGAGTGTAGACAAAGCATGATGTTCTAATTGAGAATGTGTTAAACTTGGGTTAAATATCAGTTTATAAATAAATAATAATCACTTCATATTTCATGTTATAATATGAAGCCATAATTATGAATTAAAATGTTGAAAATAAACAGAGGAGAGAAACAGTAACAGCTGGTGGGGAATAACTCATATAAATAGCCTCTATACTGCATAGGAAACAAAACAGGGGAAAAACTATAAAAAATTAAAACCTTTTGTATGTGAAAAGAATCTCAGAGTGAAAAGGAAACCCATTTGATGGGAAAATATTTGTAAATTGTAAATTGATAAGAGAATAATATTGGGAATATATGGTATACAGGAAACTCCTGCAACCTCAAAGCAATAAAAACAGATTTTAAATGGGCAAATTACTAAAGAGACATTTCTACAAAGAAAATACATAAATGGTTCAACCCACTCCTCTGCCCCCACCAGATGTTCATAGGGATGGGGTTTTATATCATTTATAAGAGCATAAACAAAGAATGCAGGATATGGTTTCACTTTAGATTTCTTGAGCTTTTGGAAAGCTACAAAAAACATTAAACAGAGTCGAAACTATGATCGAAAGGCTGTGAAAAAGGACCATGAGGGAGGGAAACAGGAGTGCTGGCGCACAAAGGGCCACATCTGTCAAGGGAAATTACACAGCAGCCAGAATGGGAGATCAGATGGAACCCTGAATGAACCATGTTACCTTCTTTTCCAGAAGAAACTAGACACATTCAGAGAAAAAGATAAGAAATCATCATTGAAGCTGTGATAGCAATAGACAAGAATTTATAGAAAATGATCATACATAGTCATTTTAAAAATGGCAGAGAAAAAAAAAGGGTGCAGACATTTAGCCTAGTGTTTATGATGCCATTTAATTAACCCTAGCCGGTGCCACGGTACAGTGGGTTGATCCTCTGCCTTTGGTGCCAGCATCCCACATGGACACCGGTTCTTGTCCCAACTGCTACACTTCTAATCCAGCTCTCTGCTCTGGCCTGGGAAAGCAGTAGAGGATGGCCCAGGTCCTTGGGCCCCTGCACCCATGTGGAAAACAGGGAGGAGGTGCCTGGCTCCTGGCTTCGGATTGGCCGCAACAGCCAGAGCTGCGCCATTTGGAGAGTGAACCAGCAGGTAGAAGACCTCTCTCTCTACCTCTACCTTTCACTGTCTATAACTCTAACACTCAAATAAAATTAATTAAAAAAAAATTAACCCTATTTCTACCTCAGAGTGCCCAGGTTTGATGTCCAGTGACAATTTCTGATACTAGATCTCAACCAATGCAGACCTGAAGAAGTGGTAAAGACATCATGTGGGAGGCCTAGACTCCGTTCCTGGTTCCTGGCTTCAGCACTGCCCCAGCCCTGCTTGCTGTGGGTATTTAGACAGTGAATTAGTGCATGGGAGCTCCCCAGCCAGCCTCTCTCTCTCAAGTACATAAACATTTTTACATAAAGCAGAACACTCAAGTAAGACAAAGAATAGAGAATAGTCTTTAGCTTTGTCTATGATTATGCTACTGAGAGACACTGGAAACATTAAAATAAAATTATTCTGAGTGTGGCTTAAGGTGAAAAATGAACAATGGAATTATTTGCCCAAAAAAATAACTTTGGAAAGTCTGCAATGGAGAGTTTAGAACCTACAGCAGATACTATTTCTCAGACATTCCTGGTCCTATCCAAGAGTCAAGTTCAGCTCCACAAAACTATTAAGCCTATACTATTTGAGCAATTCCAAAACAATTAACTGATTGTCTTTTAGCAGAATGCTGAGTGTTTAATTTCCAGGATGGCACTAAAAAATTGCCTACTCCATCATCTGAAGACTGTTTCACACATCATATCCCACACAATTTAGAATATTCTCAGGCTGAAACTAGAAACATGTAACAAGTGTATATTTTTGCTATGGCAACAGAAAGAGGAGAGATCAAATTGCCTTCTCTGAGACAATTCTAATGTTTTATAATCATGCCAACTCCATCATGCTTGTGTATATTCTCTGAAGGTTAAATTTTATTTGTGTTTACTTTTACTTTTCCATTTTAATTACAAATCACCTGAAAGCTCCTAAAATAAAAGCTGAAAACAATGTGAGAAAAAATAAAGTATGCAACTTACAGGAGATGTATTCACTTCCTTTGTTCTTGGAAACATGTGAATGTTCCTCAAATTATACCTGGAATAGGAGGTATTTGGAGGGAATTAAAAGAGAACTGTTCTGACTTCATTCTAGATTATGCATTGCCAAAAATGACTATGATAGAACAGGCAAATAATGGATACTGGAAAACACCAGCTTCCCTCTGAGGCATAGTCCTTAAAACATAGGAATATGCCACAGAGAGCACTCACAACTCTATTAATCGATAGAGATGAAACACAAGTTATCACTGGGTAAATGAAAACATTTATTTTCTACAACTTTTGTAATTAAAAATGTTACAGCAAAGAAAACAATTTAAAATGCTAAGGGTGGGGGCCAGTGCTGTGACATAGTGGGTAAAGCCACCGCATGCAGAGCTAGCATCCCAATGAGCGCTGCTTCATGTCCCAGCTGCTCCACTTCCGATCCAGCTCTCTACTATGGCCTGGGAAAGCAGTAGAAGAAGGCCCAAGTCCTTGGGCCCCTGCACCCACATGGGAGATCCAGAAGAAGCTCCTGGCTCCTGGTTTCAGGTTGGCACAGCTCCAGCTTTTGCTGCCAATTGGGGAGTGAACCAGCAGATGGAAGACCTCTCTCTCTCTCTCTGCCTCTCTTTCTCTCTGTAACATTGACTTTCAAATAAATAAATAAATCTTAAAAAAAAGTAAAGAGTGATTATTCAAATAAGTCAATTTACCAAAGACACAGATATCAGTTTTCATAGAATTAAATAAACTGGTTTTTATTGAAATTTATACTATAGAAAGTATTTCATATGATTCATATTTTTAAATATAATTTTGGCCACAAATATGAAGTTGCAAAATGTGTACTTTCTAGAGAACTTAGAGGTATGAAAAAAATAAGAGTTGTCTAATGTATACATTAAGGTGAAATCCTGTGTGGTACATATATATTACTAGAAAAATAGTGAATCCTGCAAGGGTAACAGACCAAGATCTCAGCTGAATGTCAAGTCAATCAGAACTCAGAAAGAGAGCCGGCGCCGTGGCTCAATAGGCTAATCCTCCACCTTGCGGCGCCGGCACACCGGGTTCTAGTCCCGGTTGGGGCGCCGGATTCTGTCCCGGTTGCCCCTCTTCCAGGCCAGCTCTCTGCTATGGCCAGGGAGTGCAGTGGAGGATGGCCCAGGTGCTTGGGCCCTGCACCCCATGGGAGACCAGGAAAAGCACCTGGCTCCTGGCTCCTGCCAGGATCAGCGCGGTGCGCCGGCTGCAGCGGCGGCCATTGGAGGGTGAACCAGCGGCAAAGGAAGACCTTTCTCTCTCTGTCTCTCTCTCTCACTGTCCACTCTGCCTGTCAAAAAAAAAAAAAAAAAAAAAAAAAAAAAAAAAAAAAAAAAAGAACTCAGAAAGAACTTTGTGGAGAATGACAGTCCACACAGATTTTAAATAAAATACAGGGCTGTCTCAAATGGAAATAAAACCAAGAAGACTGTATTAAAATCTACGTAAAGCTACAATAACAGATGTTATTGTATGTATGTACAAGTGTCTCCAAACAGTTCAGGGAAATAAAAGGAGGCTTAGATTCATTCCAGATGAATTTGCTCAAGTTGGATTCAATTACAAATGGAAGTAACCCAAGCAAAACAATTCAAGAAGCCAAAAAAATAAACAAACAAAAACACTGGCAGATACTCAATCCCCAGAAGACTGCCTGGATTTTAGGTCACTCTTTATCATATCAGCAGATCACTGACAGTGGGGGCAGCTCCAGACCTACACACAATTAAGTGCATGATGCTCATGACTATAGATGTCACCAGGGACCCACTCCCTACCCTGGAAAAACACTCATGCAGGGCTGGGGGGACATCATGACTGACACATGAGCCAAGTGGCATGTTTATGGTCACACATGTGGGCTGTGCTAGAATCTACAATGTGGGAGAAGAAATGAGGGGAAGACAATAAAATCTAAACCAAGTCAATGATTTTGGAAAATTATAAAGATGTTATTTCTTGCCAGCGTTGCGGCTCACTAGGCTAATCCTCCGCCTTGTGGCGCCGGCACACTGGGTTCTAGTCCCGGTCGGGGCGCTGGATTCTGTCCCAGTTGCCCCTCTTCCAGGCCAGCTCTCTGCTGTGGCCAGGGAGTGCAGTGGAGGATGGCCCAAGTGCTTGGGCCAACAATTTACTGGGTCATTACAGCCTAACAGCTAAAAGAAATTATATAGGAGGCAGCGCTGTGGCACAGTGGGTGAAATTTTTGCCTGCAGAGCGAGTATCCTATACCAGTACTGAGTCCTGGGTACTCTACTTCTGATCTAGCTCCCTGCTAAGGCACCTGGGAAAACAGCAGAAGATGTCCCAAATGCTTGGTTCCTGCACCCACATGGGAGACCAGAAGCTCCTGGCTTTGGATCAGCTCAGGGGATTCAACCATCAGATAGAAAAGATCTCTATCGCTCTATGTGTCTGTGTGTCACTCCCTCCCTCTCCCTCTCTCTCTCTCTATCTATGTATATATACACACCCCTCTTTCTATAACATTATCTTTGTCTTTCAAATAAATAACTAAAGAAATCTTTAAAAATAGGTATGTGATATAATGCATGCCATTAATTAGCTTAATTTATCTGTTCTACAGTGTACAACTAGTTCCAAATTTCATTTTATATGGTAAAGGCATGTCTGTCAATTTAAGATATACAATAGGTATTTTAAAAGATAAGCAAAGAGATGTAAATTTAAATAGATACAGAAATATAGATTATCATAACACACAAGTCCAAAGAAATCTAGCATAGTTATATTCATTTTAGACAAATCAGGATTTAGGTCAGATATATTTGCAGTTACATAATGATACAGCAGGTAGTTCTCTGAAAAGACATTATAACGCTTTGTATCTACACATATAATAGAACATCAAACTGAATAAGAGGAAAACTCATAGAATTGCAAAGAAAAATATGGATACACCATTGCTAAACAGTATAAACAACAGTATACCTAACAAACAAGTGGTCATTATTATTTATCAATGTATAATCAGAGAGATGCCAGTTAACATTAGATAGAAGAAAAATCAATAAATAAGGTCACTCCAAGTTTTGGCATATAATAAAATAAACAAACATACATCCATGAAAAGTTATATAATATTTCTACTTTATCAACACTTCCTCCTACTAAATTTCAATTATTCACAATCTACAACAAAATTTTCCCAATTTGTAAAAAAAAAAAAACCAAAAACCAAAAAAAACCCCACAAAGTTATCATGCATTACCTCTTGTGGAATTAAAACAAAAAAAAATAACATTATCACCAATGTCAAAAATAAACTTGAGGGGCTGATGCCATGGTACAGCAGGTTAAGCAGCTGGTTAAGCTACCAGCTGCAGCACAGGCATCCCATATGGGTGCCAGTTTGATTCCCAGCTGCTCCACTTCCAATCCATCTCCCTGCTAACGTGCCTGGGAAAGCAGCAGCAGATGGCCCAGGTTCTTGGGCTCTATCACCCATGTCAAGACCCAGATGAAGCTCTAGCTTCTGGCTTCAGCCTGGCCCAACCCAGGACACTGCAGCATCTTGGGAGTGAACTCTGCCTTTCAAATCAATAAACCACTAAAATAAATAAATGAATAAATAATCTTGAAACAAGCTAAGTTCCATAAACAGCAGGAGCTGTGAGGGAACTGGGTAAACCTACAGCCTCAGATGGCAGCAGGCGGCAAGTGGAAAAGCCAAGCCTGAGGCAAAAAACAAAATTAATATAGTACCAACAAGTGACATCAACTTCTTGGAAAATTCATGAAGGCAAAACCAAACAAGCCTCTCCTTTGGGAGAAATTGACAATAAGCCACAAAGAACATCAAAAAGATTCAGGACTTCATCATCTCTGAGCGGAGAAGCAGAAAAGATCAGGAACACACCTGAGCTCACCAATGCCCTTTTATTCACCTGGGTAACTATCCTATGACTGTCAAGAATTCTCTTTCCCGTTTCAGGCCTTATTGAATAACTCAGGTTCCAAGCAAGACAATAAAAAAATCTAAATTCAAAGCATGAAACACAATTCCTAAATAAGTGGGCAAAATCTAACAAAAAAGCAGCAAGCATCCACAAAGCACACAAAAGAACCAGTTCTGGGAAGCAGTCTGCTTAACCTACAGTTCACAAAGGGACCCACATTCAGAAGCTGACACAGGTTTCCATGCCTTGGCAATCACTCTCCATGTGGAAATGGGAGGCTTATGCGAGTTGGAGAGTCAGGAAAACATACATAAGCAGCCAGAAAACCTAACTCAGAAAGCTGACATTTCTACTTTTCCTTCCCAGCAGTGTGGAATGATCAGTGGGCTTGATTCAGAGCAGCAACCCAACAATCATCCAAAATCAGTTTAATGTTCTAACCCAGGTGTCTTTGTTTGACATCACTTTTAACACTAAATGTACAATGTTTGCTGAACACCAACCGATTCATCTCCAGTTAATACCATCTCCAGTTAGCAGGAGCCTCAAAGGTTAAAGACTCAGTGCCAACACACAGTCCCACACAGGTGTCAGTGGAAAGCACCTGTTTGCTGTGGGGAATCCCACAGGAGTCCCAAAGACGAGTCGCAGATCACCGCTTACCCAACAACTAATAGCAGGTGGACCATGGAGAAATTTTTGGTAGTCCCAAATGAGTGAGAGAGCCCTGCTAACCACAAACAAGCTAAAATAAGAATGGAGTTACTCATGCTAAACTAGGAGCTGATGACACCACTTATGCTAAGTTTAGTGTCTGCCAAGAAAGACACCTCCTCATCTGACTGAACAGTCACCTCCGGCAGTCAGATAACGTGTGTGCTAAGGATGATAACCTCAAGTCCCCCTCAATACTAGCATGGTGAACCGACAGCACTGGACACAGCTGATACGCCCTGTCCTAGTCAGCAGACTGGTGGCGCCCTGGGAAGTTCCAGAACATGACTGATAGACACCTGGACCCCAACCAGGTGCCCTTTTTCCCTGGAGTGGCAAGGATAAAAGGAGAGCTCTTTTCACCACTCCTCATCCCCTTGGGGATGATGGCCTAGTGAACAAGGCAACTACTAGACCAAACTCCATCAGAGCTGATGTCATCAGCCTACTGCCAGACCTCTCAGCAGGGGACCTCTCCAACTCCTCATCTCCCTTCCAGCCTACTGCCCACAGTGACAGTCATCCCAAGACTTCCTGCCTGTAACTGTTCTGAGATCAATCTCTCCAAGCGGTAAGAGACTTCAGACCCTGGACTCTTGACTTCTCATGACCCTGATACGATCCTTGAGAATGCATTTATAATGATATTCACTATGTGTAATATTAAGGAATGTGTCTCGACCCTATGATTAATACCATATGCTTTGCTGTACTTATATTACTATAGTTGGATTGCCTTTGAGATTGCTTTGATGCTAGGTGTGTGTTAAGATCTGTGGATTGGGGTGGGCACAGCAGGTTAAAGCCTTGGGTGAAGCACTGGCATCCCATATGGGTGCAGGTGTAGTCCTGGCTGCTCCTCTTCCAATCTAGTTCTCTGTTATGGCCTGGGAATGCAGTAGAAGATGGCCCAAGTCCTTGGGCCCCTGCATCCACGTGGGAGAGCCAGAAGAAGCTCCTGTCTCCTGGCTTTGGAGCGGTGCAGCTCCAGACATTGTGGCCACCTGGGGAGTGAACCAGCAGATGGAAGACCTCTGTCTCTCTGGATCTACCTCTCTCTGTGACTCAGTCTTTCAAATAAATAAAATAAATCTTTAACAAAATGATCTGTGGATTAATGAACATAACTATATAGATTGGTATGCAGAGTAGTGAAGCCCTAGTGTGAATTGGTGTGAGCAATAAAAACCTTTCATTGGAAAGACAGTCTGTGTCCATGGGTTCCTTCTTCCCTGTGCTCTGACATGCCACCCTTAAGCCCTGACAAGCTGAGTGACAGTAGGCACTCAAGACATTTGCTCTTTCTGGTCACCTGCCCCCACATCTAGGGATCTCACCCAGTCACTTCATTAGCATAAACTTAGCTATTATCTGAAAAGGCTGTGTTATGCAGAATCAGAGCCACAAGTATAACTCAGGAAATTCTAAGGGTTTTAGGATCTCTGTGCCAGAAAGTGAGGGCAAATCCAAATAAGTATTTATTATACAAGGAACCCTAAGGAACTCTTTAAATTCATAAACTTTCTCATTCAACAGAATCTGACCGTCCCAAACACTCTCTATTGATCAAACTATGATGACAAAACCAATTCTGAAGATGTAAAACTAAACTGCTGTGTGCCCAAAATGTATTTGCTTTCTAGGTCTCACATCACTTAGCTAGGGTAGTTTTCTTTGTCCTGAAGTTTTTCCTCCCTTCACAAGGCTAAGAGATTCCAGAGTTCATGGATCCCTTCTGCCTTGTCCTTTCAATGTCAGCCTCTACTTTAGCTGATAATTCATCTCCAAGGAATGAGATTTAGAGTGAGGAGGAGAACATTTTACTTTCCCAAGGTGTTAAGAATATAGATGGAGGATATACAGCAGAGACCCTCAACCTCAGGGCACCGGCTACTCCCAGGACAAGCCCTCCTTCCTCCTGCTGCTCTCCAAGCAGACACAGTGGCTGCCATTCACTCCTATGGACTGTGATGACTGGGGGCATCTTGGGTCATTACCCACAGGTGGTTTTAAAAGGACATGGGAAAGAGTAACAGGTTTGTAAGATGACATCACTCTAACTTTCCAGACCTCAAATCTATGACACTTTAAGATTTATTTATTTATCTGAAAGGCAGAGTTACAGAGATGCAGAGGCAGACAAAGAGAGACCTGTGGGAGACCTGGAAGAAGCTCCTGGCTTTGAATTGGTGCAGATCCAGCCATTGTGGCCATCTGGGGGAGTGAACCAGTGGATGGAAGACCTCTCTCTCTGTGTCTCCTCCTCTGTGTAACTCTGACTTCCAAATAAATAACTATTTTTAAAAATAATGGAAGTGGAACAGCCAGGACTGGAATCAGTGCCCATAAAGGAGGTCGGCACTGCAGGCTGTGGTCTTACCCACTACACCACAGCACCGGCCCCCAATCTATGACATTCTGATAAGAATGCAGGAGATGTGCAAAGATTTTTTTTAATTACTTATTTTTTATTTGAAATGCAGACAAACAGAGGTCTTCCATTTATTGGTTCACTCCTGCAAATGCCTGAAACGGCATCAACTGGAGCAGGCTGAAGACAGCAGACCAAATCCAAATCTGGATGTCCCATGCTGGCAACAAGGACCCAACAACCATCATCACCTATGGTCTCCCAGGGAGTAGACCAGCAGGAAACTGAATCTGAAGCACAGGAAGGACTCAAACCCAGGCACTCCAATTGGGCTGTGGCCATCCGACATCTTCTGCTCCAAACATCCATTCCAGCACTATTATATTATATTATATTATACTATACTATACTATATTATATTATATATAAACCCCTGGAGTATCTAGTAGGTATACTCTGCCTTTCTCTCCTATGAAATACCCAGAATAGAAAATAAACCTTTCAAAATGTTATAAATTATTCTGTGGAAAAAAAAACAATTAAAATATAGAAGCTTAATTAAGTGTAGCAAGGGGAAAATATTTTATAGTGTTGTAAATTTCAGTGGGGAAGCTGGCATTTGGCAAGGTGGCAGAGATAAGAATATTTAGGGATTATCAGGCTTACCCGTGTGGATTAAACATGGTTTAATCCCATCTTAAACCCACGGGAAAATAAACCCAATTATGAGATATTAAGAAGTGGTACCATGGGGCTGGCACTGTGGTGCAATGGGTTAATGCCCTGGCCTGAAGCGCTGGCATCCCATATGGGCGCCGGTTTGAGACCCGGCTGCTCCACTTTCAATCCAGCTCTCTGCTAAGACCTGGGAAAGCAGTGGAAGATGGTCCAAGTCCTTGGGCCCCTGCACCCACGTGGGAGAGCCAGAAGAAGCTCCTGGCTCCCAGCTTTGGATCTGCGCAGCTCCGCCCGTTGCGGCCAACTGGGGAGTGAACCATCGGACGGAAGACCTCTCTCTCTTTGCCTCTCCTCTGTGTAATTCTGACTTTCAAATAAATACATCTTTTAGATGTATTTATTTATTTGCAATAAATATTTTGAATAAATCTTATTTTTAAAGATTTATTTATTTGAAATATTTCAAATAAATAAATCTTATTTTTTAAAAGATTTATTTATTCATTTGAAAGTCAGAGTTAGACAGAGAGAGGAGAGGCAGAGAGACAGAGGTCTTCCGTCCAATGGTTCACTCCCCAGATGGCCGCAATGGCCGGAGCTGCGCCAATCCGAAGCCAGGAGCCAGGAGCTTCTTCCTGGTCTCTCATGCAGGTGCAGGGGCCCAAGGACTTGGGCCACCTTCCACTGCTTTCCCAGGTCTTAGCAGAGAGCTGGATAGAAGAGAAGCAGCCGGGACTACACCTGGAGCCCATATGGGATGCCAACACTTCACGCCAGGGCATTAACCTGCTGTGCCACAGCGCCAGCCCCAAATAAATAAATCTTAAAAAAAAGAAGTGGTACCACGTGGGACCTTAGAGGAGGTGATGAGGATACAGCTGCTCATGTTTAACGGCTTTACGCCTTATCTACAGAAGGGCCCGCATACAGAAGCCCTTTAGCGTTGGCCTCTCCTGTGCTCCCTTCCTTGGCCACTTGGTCTCGGGGCCATCTCAGGCCTCTGTCAACAAGGCCACCACCAGATGCTGCCCCTGAAACTTAGACCAAAACCCTAAGACGAACTTCAGCAACCTGTAACACTGTTATTACAGCAGAACACAGACTCGGGTCCCAGAGGAGGGCTGAGCACCAGACTGCAGCCTTGCGACTCTGATTCCCAGCTCAGGAACCGGGGCCCTCGGGGAGAGGAACCACAGGACCCCAGAGACCACAGCGCCCCCCGCCATGAACGCCTCACGTGCATTCCGCATTTCCTAAGGACACTTCCGTCCTCACCGCACAATCTGAGAAGTGGGGCTATGCACCCGGGGCAGCACGGAGAGCGCTCTGGGTCTGAGCCGAAGTCGCAGCGTGAGGAGCAGGACAAAATGGCCAGGGTCCTGGCTGTAGGCCACATTCACATCCCGCTGACCACCGGGAACGGCCCCCACACTCGCCATTTCCGGCTTCCACGGAGTCCCGGGCGCTCCGCAGGGCTTCAGGAGTGCGGACGTTCACTGACTGCTGAAGCCTAAGCCACCTGCGGCCTCCCTCAGCGCACAGCAGCGAAGCCCAGTGTGTCGGCCAGAGAAGAACCCGCCTGGTTCTGCAGTGTAGCCCGGAGCGCCTGAATAGACAGTTCGCACAGCCAGTGAGCACGCATGACGTCATAGAAGAAGCAGCCAATCAGAATCGCCCCGAGCACGGGGGCGGTCACTTGGGGTTGGTAACCAGGCGGGTAGTGAAGGGTGAGGTCTGGGCTCGGTCGGAGGCTGCCTTTCCGTCCTCGGGCCTGACTGTCCGGACACCAGGGGGCGCTGTCTCCTCCCTGATGCCCTCCCCGCCCCCTCCTGGGAGCTTAGGACCTGCAACACGTGCTTCAGGAGTGACCATTTACCAAATGTTTATTGGATGCAGGGTCTTTTTCCTCATAGGCTTGCGTTATTCTTAGGTATTGATTTCAAAAATATTTCAGGATATAGGCTGGCGCCGCGGCTCACTAGGCTAATCCTCTGCCTGCGGGGCCGGCACACCGGGTTCTAGTCCTGGTTGGGGCGCCGGATTCTGTCCCGGTTGCCCCTCTTCCAGGCCAGCTCTCTGCTGTGGCCAGGGAGTGCAGTGGAGGATGGCCCAAGTGCTTGGGCCCTGCACCCCATGGGAGACCAGGAGAAGCACCTGGCTCCTGGCTTCGGATCAGCGCGGTGTGTCTGCCATAGCGCGCCAGCCGCGGCAGCCATTGGAGGGTGAACCAACGGCAAAGGAAGACCTTTCTCCCTGTCTCTCTCTCTCACTGTCCACTCTGCCTGTCAAAAAAAAAAAAAAAAAATTTCAGGATATGACATAGGTTAATCCTTTTTTCATTTGTCTTCTAAAAATTCCTGCTGCTTTTAAAAAATAATTCCTGGGGTGATGATGTGGTGTTGCAGGTAAAGCCGCCGCGTGCAGTAATGGAATCCCATACTTATCCCATATGGGCTCTGGTTTGTGTCCCGGCTGCTCCGCTTCTGATCCAGCTCTCTGCTGTGGCCTGGGAAAGCAGTAGAAGGTGGCCCAAGTTCTTGGGCCCCTGCACCCGCGTGGGAGGACCGGGAAGAAGCTCCTGGCTCCTGGCTTCAGATTGGTGCAGCTCTGGCCATTGCAGTCATTTGGGGAGTGAACCAGCGGATGGAAGATTTCTCTCTCTCTGTCTCTGCCTCTCTGTAGCTCTCTTTCAAATAAATAGACAAATGTTTAAAAAAAAATTCCGTTCCTAATCTGTGTCTGGTCATTTAAAATTATTTCCTATGTGTTTCTTGCTGGTGCACAGTAACTCACTTAATTGCATATATTGCTCCCTTTCCTAGTAATTTCACTTTATTCGCTTATCAGTTTGTATTTATTTTTAGATTATGTTATCTCTGTATATAATAGTGTCATCCACATATAATTTCTTAAAAATTACTCTTCATAGTTAATGTTTCCTTAGTTATATTTTCCTCACGATGTCTCCAATACAATTGTTGAGGAGAGAGAATGAGAGATGGTTTCTTTCCATGGATAAAGGTTTGAAGGCTCTGTTAATTATACTGTTACTTATTGGGCTAATTGTAAACAATCTTAATTGGAATAAGGAATGTACTATTTTTACTATTCTGCTATCCCTTGCTTCATAATTTCCAGATGCTGACTTTTATTAAATACTTTTGATGGAACAAAGACATAAGGCTCAGCTATTCTTGCTCACTGCCCAAAACATCGACAAACATTGGAATTTATTCCTTGCCCTTGAATCTAAATTGGATCTCATACCCTATCACCTTCATACTCCATCCCTCAAGGCCACCTGAAAGACCAGTTCCAGGAATTACCTCCACCTGCTACCCCTAGCCCACCCCCACCATCCCTAGCCCTCCTAGAATATAAAAGGCCCAGCCCCTGGGTGTTGAGGCCTTCTGCCATGTGTTCCATCATGTGCACACTGATAGCTGGTCACCTACCTCTATGAGTTTATTTTCTCTGAATCAATTCTGTCTGGCTGTAATTTCAAACACTGCCTCCTCTCTATTCTGTGCCTCTTTTCCTAACAAATTTTTAGTATTTAGTCTAAATGATCACATAGAGTTTCTTGTATTTTTCAGACACATAGAGGAGTTACAGAATTTTAGTGTTATTGACTTTTATCTTGACTTTTTAATAATATAGTATATTCATTGCTATTAATCTATTATGCTTTCATGTGGTTTAGTTTATGTAACAATATTTTGCTTAAATGTTTCCGCTTTTTTTAAAGATTTATTTATTTTTTGTAAGGTGAAGTTTCAGACAGAGAGAGGGAGATACATAAAGAGAGAAAGGTCTTCTATCCACTGGGTCACTACCCAAATGTCCACAAAGGCTGAAGCTGAGCCAAAATGAAGCCAGGTGCCAGGAGCTTCCGGGTCTCCTCCACTGTTACAGGGGCACGAGCACTTGGGACATCTTCTACTGATTTCCCAGGCCATAGCAGAGAGCTCATCTATCCATTTCTTCTAGGTTTCCCAATTGGTTGACATCCAGCTCTTTATAGTAATTGTTGATGTTTTATTTAATTTCTGTAGCGTATGTTGTTATATTTCATTTTGCATCTCTGATTTTAGTGATTTGGTTTTTCCTCTTTTTTTTTTTTTGGTCAACTGAGCCAATGGCATGTCAATTTTGTTTATGTCTTTCAAAAAAAAAACAGCTCTTCATTTCACTGATCTTTTGTATTGTTTCTTTGGTTTCAATTTTGTTTATTTCTTTTCAAATTTTAATTATTTCTTTCCTCCAACTAATGTGGGGCTTGGTTTGTTGTTTTTCAAAGTCCTCTTTTTTTTAAAGATTTATTATTTATTTGAAAGTCAGAGTTACACACAGAGAGGAGAGGCAGAGCAAGGGAGAGAGGTCTTCCATCTGCTGGTTCACTCCCCAATTGGCTTCAATGGTTGGAGCTGTGCCTATCCGAGGCCAGGAGCCAGGAGCTTCTTCCAGGTCTCCCACATGAGTGCAGGGACCCAAGGATTTGGGCCATCTTTTACTGCTTCCCCAGGCCATAGCAGAGAGATGGATCAGAAGTGGAGTAGCTGGGACTTGAACCAGCGTCCATATGGGATGCCGGCACTGAAAGCAGCAGCCTTTCCTGATGTGCCACAGTGCTGGCCCCCCTTGGTCCTTGAGATGCATTGATAGCTCATTTATTTGGTACTCTTCCAGTTTGATATCATACCGGGGATTCTGTGCAGTGAATTCAGGCAGAGGGAGAGGCTGGGCAGCGACCACAGTGCTGCCGAGTGTGTGTAGGGGCTGAGCGGCAGCCGCTGTGTGCACGGATGGGACAGGTTGCCTGGAGACCCCGACCCAGCCCACACACCCACAGGTGGCAAGGGGCACAGGGAAGACTGTCCCAGCAGTGGACTGAAGTCTGCAGATTGCAGAGCTGACCACGGGGAGGTGCAGGGCCCCCTGCAGGGAGTTCCAGCAGTTCCACCAACTCCACCTCCCCTTCTCGGGACACAAGCTCCACGCACTATTCCCCAGCTTCTGAGGCGTCCGGCTTCCACTACACAGGGGGCAGAGCCAATCAGTATCCTCTGTAGCATGGAGGGCAGTGACCTGGGGTTGTTCGGCCTGCGGAAGTGAGGGGAGAAGCTGCTTCTTCCACCTCCGTGACTTCCCCTGCAGCCGAGGCCGCTGCACCTGCTGTTCCCACAGGGATCCGTGAGCTGGAGCTGGCAATGACCTGCTGCAGGTGTCTCCATTTGCTGACTGCTTGTTGACTCCTGGGCCCTTGTCTTTCTTCGCATTCTTGGGTCATTGTTCTGTTCGGTCATTTACGTTTTATAAATTGATTTGAAGAGTGCCTGAAGATATTAAATAACTTCATCTTTTTTGATTCATTGTCTTGTGACTATGTGTCTCCTAGTCTGCCTGTTTTCCACTAGTATTTTCTCTTTGTTTCTTTCTGGTACTTACTAGTCCAGTTGGTTTTATATACGGATCTGCTACCCAGAAGTGTGCTACATCCAATAATCAGTTGCAGTTTGGGAAGATTAAGCTAGTTATCTTTGTATATAATAGTGTCTTCCACACATGTTGACAGTTGTATTGCTAAAAATCGGATCTTTTATCTTACATTTCTTTGTTTCCCTGACTATAGCTCCAGTACAGTGTAAAGGAGAGATCATGACAGGAAGCAGCCTTGTCTGGGTGGGCTCCTGAGGAAAAAGCCTTCAGTGATCCTGTATTAAGTAATCTGTTGAAGGCTAACTTTAGACAATCCTGATCTGATTAAGTGAATCATTATTTTTAAATATTCTTGCTAACAGTTTCTTTTTATGGCTGGATGCTGAATTTTATTAAATGCCTTTTAACATTTAAGCTAAATACTCCTGTAATCCCTTGTATTCTTCATCTACCTGGCCGATTTACATGTTTTTTGTTTCTTTGTTTGTTTGAGACTGTTAAATACTCTTGTACTTTTTAGTGTATCTTGCTTGTCATCGATCTATTAGGTTTTCATATGTCTCTTAATTTATATACTATTTTGTTAGAATATTTGTATATCTTTATGAACGAGAAGGTCTTTAATTTCACTCAATTTGTATCCTGCTTCAAGTTGCATCATATGTGTAATAGTGGCTTCCAAAAAGAAATTTTAAAATATTCAACTTATTTTCAGTTGGGGCAAGTGTGGGAAACATTTTATTTTTCTTTCCTTCCTTAGAAGTTTGGACTATTCCATAAATGTGGACCTTCAGTTTTGCTTGTGAAGCCATTTTCAAGTTCTCCTAAAATTGGCTCAACTTATTTTTAGATTATATAGTTTTTTTTTTAAACTTAAATTTTTTTTTAATTTTTTTTTTTATTTTTGACAGGCAGAGTGGACAGTGAGAGAGAGAGACAGAGAGAGAAAGGTCTTCCTTTGCCGTTGGTTCACCCTCCAATGGCCGCCGCTGCAGCCGGCGCACCGTGCTGATCCGATGGCAGGAGCCAGGATCCAGGTGCTTTTCCTGGTCTCCCATGGGGTGCAGGGCCCAAGCACCTGGGCCATCCTCCACTGCACTCCCTGGCCATAGCAGAGAGCTGGCCTGGAAGAGGGGCAACCGGGACTAGAACCCGGTGTGCCGGCGCCGCAAGGTGGAGGATTAGCCTATTGAGCCACGGCGCCGGCTCTATATAGTTTTTTTTTTATTATTTATGTCCTATATGTGTTTTTGGGAAACTGGTTTTCAAAATATAGTGAATTTTGGTATCTGTAGTCCAATTTTTACTCCTAAGAATTTCATAAAACCCTCTTAGTATCTTTGTAAGTTCTATGTGCTCTATGAAAATGATTCTGTTTTAATTTCCTGAAATTGGCTATTAGCTAATTAATTTTCTTAATATTTTTAAGATATGTTTTATCCTTGTGTATTTCTGTGGTATATATGCTACTGTCAGCAGTTCATTGATGTCTGCTGTTATCTTTCATGACTTTATTTTATTCTTCCAGCTTTTTCTTTTTAGATTTTTAAAAATATTTATTTTTTATTTATTTGAAAGGCAGAATTAGAGAGGAGGAGAGACAGAGAGATCGTCTATCTGCTGGCTCACTTCCCAAATGTCCTAATGGCCTGGGCTGGACCAGACTGAAGCCAGGAGCCTGGAGACCCCTCCAGGTCTCCCACCCAGGCACAGGAGCCCAAGCACCAGGGCCATCTTCCACTGCTTTCCCAGGTGCTTTATCAGAGAACTGGATTGGAAATGCACCAGCTGGAACTCAAACAGGCACTCACATGGGATGCCAGCATTGCAGGTGGCAACTGAAACCACTATGCAAAAACTCCAGCCCCTGTCTATATTTTCATGTTATATTTCATTCTAACTGGGTAAATATATAGAAGCATATATGCTGCATACTATGGTGATACTTGGCTGGCTTCCTAGTTACATGTCAAGATTGTTGTGGGGCGCACCAATTAAAACACAGTGAGTCTTTGAGGTCAAATTGGAGTCTTTATTAGGCAACTGGCGACTGCCTTTCTTAAAGAGCAAGTCTGGCAAAAACAGCAGCAAGTTGCAATAGTGGGGGTTTTTAAAGGCAAAACCACATTCTGTTATCAGCAGTTCATCATGATACATGACCATTTGCTGGTCATTCTCTAAATGGTTTCAATAACCAGAGCTGGGCCAGCACAAAGCCAGGAGCCAGGAACTCCATCCTAGTTCACACAAGGAAAAATCATGACTGGCAGGAGCCCAAGTACTTGGGCCATCATCTGATAGTTTCCCAAATACCTTATATGGCATTTGTATTGGAAGCATAGCAGTCAGGACTGACACAGACATTCTGGTAAGGGATGTTAGCAGTGCACGTGATGACCTGACCTGTGGTGCCGCAATTCTGGCCCCATGCAATTCCGTTAAATATGTATTTTTCACAAAGTAAAAAGTGGTTATACTCTCTTAATCTTCAAATTCCTTTAACAGCAATAGCTAGAGTAGTGTTTGAATGAGCACTTCAAAGTCAGGCATCTTGGGACACTTTAATTAAGTCAACCAACAGAGAATCAACATTTAAAAGCTAACTGTTCTCAAGGGTGGCACTGTGGTGCAGTGGGTTAAGCCACTGCCTGCAATGCTAGCATCTCATATGAGTGCCAGTTTGAGTTCTAGCTGCTCCTCTCCTGTCTAGTTCCCTTCTAGTTGACCTGGGAAGGCAACGGAAGAGGGCCCAAAAGCTTGGGCCCCAGCTCCCATCTGGGAGACCTGGATGAACTTCAGGCTGTTGGCTTCCACTTGGTCTAGCCCTGGCTATTATGGCCAGTTAGGAAGTGAACCAGAGGAAGGAAGATCTCTCTCTATCCCTGGCTCTCTGTAACTCTGATTTTCAAATAAATGAATACACCTTAAAATGTTGAGTTCTCACATGCCTTCCAATTCCTTCTTGTTTGAAGTCTAAGAAAACAGTCATCAAAATGTGCTTGCTTCATACTATTACCCCATCAATACCCAGCTGCTGTGGAACACATCAAGTACTAACCCACTGGGGAGCAATGTAATGCCAGTCCATGGATGGAAATTTAGAACCCCACACTTGGTGCTAGAGCCAGTTACTACCATTAACTCACCACGTTAATTTTTTCTAAATTCTGTGTCCCATGACATCACAGAGTTGTAAATCTGCCTTGGTAGGAGCATTTACATTGGCAAATCTTACAGAATATTCCCCTTCCTTGCTTTGGAGAGCTGATTTAGCAGCACACCACTTGAAATTGCAAACTTGAATCATAATTGAAATACATTATATGTGCTATGATGAAGCTTTGCAGACTTTAAGGAAGCAGTTAAGTCAGGCAGGTCGAGCCCAGAGGATATTTCTTTGTGACAGCAATGCAATAAGCATTTTGAAGTTTCACATATGTTTTTTATTGCTTTTAGAGTCCCACTTGGAGAGGGTAGCAGACACACTAAATCATACATACTGCCCGAGTGAGCTGGAACAATTGAGGTCATCTCTAAATGTTACAGCCTCCAAATCTGTAAAATTATTTCATAGGTTTTTATATATTTAAACATTTAACAAATCCTAATTAAGTACTTTCATGTGATCTATAATGGATTAGATCTGAGAATTAGATGGTGAGGATTAGCTTTTGTTAATGCAAAAAGTGTGTAATGAACATTTTACAGAAACCAAATTTATAATAAATATGTAGAAGTGAATGATAATTCTTTGGGTATTTGGATCTCTTCAACAACTTAAAGACACTTGAGAAAATTTTTGAGAACATGTATGCCTATACAAGCAGTTATATACAATTTTAGAAAATTCATGAATCATTGTATGCCATTCATTGCCTTTGTGTCTTTGTAACATTTATTAAAATTTTGGAATTTTACAAGAAAATGGAAATAATGTAGTGAATCACTTTCATGAATACAGCAGAGAGAAACATTGGGGAATAGACTGAGGACATGGTTTGTTTAGATTTAGAGTCAGAGGATGTAAGTGTAGGGAATAACAGCTGGTATTGTGTACAGTTGGTTAATCTGCTGCCTGCTGGCATTCCTTCTCAGACCAGTTCCCATCTCAGCTGCTCTGCATCCAATCTACTTCCCTTCTTTGTGCCTGGGAAAGCAACCAAAGATGGCTCAAGTATTTGGGCCCTTGCCACCCATGTGGGAGACCTAGATGTAGTAAAAGGCTCCTGGCTTTGGCCTGGCCCAACCCCAGCCATTGTGACCATCTGGTGAGTGAACTGGAGGATGGAAGATCTTTGTCTCTCCCCCTCTCTGTGTCACACTGCTTTTCAAATCAATAAACTAAATCTTAAAGAGTGAGGGAGTCAAATCAAAACCATAGATGGTAGTGGATGTTGTGGCATTGCAGGTAACACCACCACCTGGGATGCTAGCATCCCATATTGATGCCGGTTTGATTCCCGGCTGCCCCACTTCTGATCTAGCTCCATGCTATTGGCCTGTGGAAAGCAGAGTATGGAAGACCTGGAGGAAGCTCCTCTCCCTTGTCTTCAGCCTGGCCCAATCTTGGCCATAGAAGCCATTTGGGGAGTGAACCAGTGGGTGGAAGACCTCTCTCTCTCTCTAGACCTCTCTCTCTTAACTCAAATAAATAAATCTTTCTAAAAACAAAGATGGTTTTGTGTGTTAATGTGGAGAATTGAGTGCATAAACTTTACTCTTGGGTTCAGATTTTTTATATTGCTTTTTTTTGTCTTTTGAGTGGCAGTGTAAGAAAAATCCACAAGTAATTTTCTTTTCTTTTCTTTCTTTCTTTTTTTTTTGTAAGGAACATTCCTTTCAAAAGTCTGGAGAATGGTTGCATGATTTCCTCTAAGCTTTAGTGTAGAAGGTTTTTTAAATCCCCATAAGCTATTTCCCTTGTGTTGATTGTTCCCTACTTCTTCACTCAAAGTAATTGGTAAGTTTTACCTTACCTGAGAGTTTTCAAAATATTTAAATGAAGCATTTTAACTAATCTGCAGTAAAGCAGCGAAAACTTTCATTGCTTTTTATAAGCTTTGGACAGAAAAACATAAACTTTACTTTGAAGTGGTTTTTAGAATTCTAAATACAGGGGTCGATGCTGTGGCATAGCATGTAAAACTGCTACATGCAGTGTCGGCATTCCATATGTGTGCCAGTTCAAGTCCCAGCTGCTCCACTTCTGATCCAGCTCTCTGCTATGGCCTGGGAAAACAGTAGAAAATGGCCCAAGCCTTTGGGCCACTGCACCCACGTGGGAGACCCAGAAGAAGCTCCTGGCTCTTGGCTTCAGATGGGCGCAGCTCCGGCCATTGCAGCCATTTGGGGAGTGAACCGGCAGATGAAAGACATCTCTCTCTCTTTCTCTCTCTCTCTCTCTGCCTCTCCTTCTCTGTGTGTAACTCTGACTTTCAAATAAATAAATAAATCCTAAAAAAAGAATTCTAAATATTAATACAGAATAGATAACTACTATATTATCAAAGAAAAACTAAGGATTTATACTTTCAACAATTCATAGTTTTATTAGAAGGAAAGGCTAATTATCTTACTGTGAATTTAGTATTAAAAGAAAACCTTTTCCATGCAAAATTATATATATTTAAAGTTTTATTTATTTGAGAGGTAGAGTTACAGACAGAGAGGGTGAGACAAAAAGAAAATATAGGAATTCTTCCATCCACTGGTTCACTCCCCAAATGATGCAGTGGCTGGAGCTGTGCCGATCCAAAGCCGGGAGACAGGAGCTTCTTTTTTTTTTTTTTTTTTTTGACAGGCAGAGTGGACAGTGAGAGAGAGAGACAGAGAGAGAAAGGTCTTCCTTTGCCGTTGGTTCACCCTCCAATGGCCGCCGCTGCAGCCGGCGCACCGCGCTGATCCTGGCAGGAGCCAGGAGCCAGGTGCTTTTTCCTGGTCTCCCATGGGGTGCAGGGCCCAAGCACCTGGGCCATCCTCCACTGCACTCCCTGGCCATAGCAGAGAGCTGGCCTGGAAGAGGGGCAACCGGGACAGAATCCGGCACCCCAACCGGGACTAGAACCCGGTGTGCCGGCGCCGCAAGGTGGAGGATTAGCCTATTGAGCCACGGCGCCGGCCCTTTTTTTTTTTTTTTTTTTTTTTTTTTGAGACAGGAGCTTCTTTCAGGTCTTCTTTGTAGATGCAGGGGCTGAAGCACTTGGGCCATCCTCTGCTGCTTTCCCAAATACATTAGCAAGGAGCTGGATCAGAAATGGAGCAGCAGGGCAAGAACTGGCACCCATATTGGATGTTGGCACCACAGGCAGAGGCTTAGCCTACTAAGCCACAGCGCTGGCCCCACACAATTCTGTTATAATTTGTATTTTTAAGAGCAACAACTTTAATGGCCTCTCTTGCTGTGGAAAGCCTTTCCCACACAGCAGACAGTGTGGAAAGGAGTCTTAATTTCTCAGCTTCTGTGTCATTCTTCTAGGGAAAGATTTTGGTTGGCCTTGTTTGGACCTATCACTCCTGCCAAAGATGTGACAATCTATATCATCTATATCTATATTTTTCTATATCTATATCTATAGTCAACTTCAAAGTTAATGGAAATGCATATAATGAACAAACTATGAATGAATTTCAACTTTATTTTGCATAAACTTATCTTTTTAAAAAGTTGTGTTTATTTTCACCTACTTGAAAAGGAGAGAGAGAAAGAGAAGAGACAGGGGGAACCAGATCTTCTATTCTCTGGTTCACTTCCTAAATGTCTGCTACAGCCAGGGCTGGTCCTAGCCAAGGCTAGGAGCCAGGAAGATGATCTTGGTCTCCCATATGGGTGAAAGATGCACAAGTATTTGGCATCATCTGCTGTCTCCCAGGATTCATTAGCAAGGAGCTGGATCAGAAATAGAGTAGCCAGGGGGCCAGTGCTGTGGCATAGCAGGTAAAGCCACTGCCTGCACTGCTGACATCCCAAATGGGCACCAGTTCAAGATCTGGCTGCTCTATTTCTGATCCAGTTCTCTGCTGTAGCCTGGGAAAGCAGTGGAAGATGGCCCAATTCCTTGGCTCCTGCACCGGTGTGAGAAGACCTGGAGGAAGCTGCTGGCTCCTGGCTTCAGATTGGTGCAGCTCCATCCATTGTGCCCATCTGGGGAGTGAACCATTGGATGGTGTCGCTCCCCATCTTCGTGGAGGAACGACACAGGACCCTGCGCTGTTCTTTTGTCCGCTCGGCCCTTCCCGGGTTTGCTGCTGGTTCTTCCTGGGTTGGCTACTGTCCCTTCCACCTCTGTGGAAGGGCGGTTCCCCCTGGCCACTTTCCCCACTTCCACAGGGGAGCGGCACACCGCCGGCCGGCTCTCTCGGGGGCTGCACAGGTGTTCCTTCAGATAGATGTTCCCTTTAGATGTTCCTCGTGCATGTTGTCTATCTCCTCCTTTATAGTCCTCTTCCACCAATCCCAACTCTGCTACCCACACGCCGAGTACGCTGCTCTCCTCCAATCAGGAGCAGGTCCTACAGTTTATTGTTTGAACTGGAGGCAGCTGAGCAGAAGCTGTTTCTCCCTTCTCAGCGCCATATTGTGGGAGAGCAGATGCATAGAATAAGTCTTAATTCCAGTAACTTAGTCTAGTCCGAGTTGCTCCCCACAGATGGAAGACCTCTCTCTCTCTCTCTGCCTCTGCCTCTCTCTAGCTCTGCCTTTCAAATAATAAATAAATCTTTAAAAAAAGAAAGAAAGAGTAGCCAGGACTTCAGCCAGCAATCCAGTATTGGATACAGGTGTCTCTAGTAGTGTCCAGCTTGCTGTGCCACAAGGCCTGTGCCAGAATTCTTTTAATTCTATTTTCTCATAATTTTTTTGAAGTATCTCCAGATATATGTGTGTGTAATGTATGTATACATGTGACAGCAAAAGCATATATATATATATATAACATGTATATTAAGACACTAATACAAAGAACAAGTCATTTCAATATACATCTTTCAAATTAAGAGGCAAAGAATAACTTTATCCTCTAATCTAGACAGGTTGGGGTAAATAATAGTAAACCAAACCCTTCTATTCATCGTAAAACATATGCCTCTCTGAAGACTTACAGATTTTTAAAAACGTTATGAGGAATTAACATTTAATTTTACAATCTAATTCCTTTGATAGTATCCACAGGGACTGAAAGGACTGAGCCCTTGGGTGGATGCTATAATTGCATGGGGACATTTTGAGAGACGCAGTTAATTCTGAAAATGGCAGAGACATGAGCCCCTGGGGTGGGGTGGGGGTATAGGTTGAATGAGGTTTCTCTGATGAACTGATAGGGGTATAGTTCCTTGTCTTCATCCCTCTCCATCTTTATATCTGTGAAACCAACATCAAATTTACTGCTCCCACCACACCCACATAAACTGGCAGCAAGTGGCAGCAAATGCTTGGCAAACTCTTAAAGAAATTCTATTTCAGGCCAGCGCCGCGGCTCACTAGGCTAATCCTCTGCCTTGCAGCGCTGGCACACAGGGTTCTAGTCCCGGTTGGGGCGCCGGATTCTGTCCCGGTTGCCCCTCTTCCAGGCCAGCTCTCTGCTGTGGCCCAGGAGTGCAGTGGAGGATGGTCCAAGTGCTTGGGCCCTGCACCCCATGGGAGACCAGGAGAAGCACCTGGCTCCTGCCATCAGATCAGCGCGGTGTGCCGGCCTCAGCGCGCCGGCCGCAGCGGCCATTGGAGGGTAAACCAACAGCAAAAGAAGACCTTTCTCTCTGTCTCTATCTCTCACTGTCCACTCTGCCTGTCAAAAAGAAAAAAAAAAGAAATTCTATTTCAAAAATAGGGGAATGGGGAGCATAAAGAAGTGACTAGAAATTCAGAACTCAGCAAATGCTGGGACTTTATTTATATTTTTAAAGATTTATTTGAAAGACAGAGTTAGAGAGGGAGAGAGAGAGAGAGAGAGAGAGATGTCTTCCATCTGCTAGTTCACTCCCTGAACTGCCGCAATGCCTGAGGCCCAGACTGGCCAAAGCCAGAAGCTGGGAGTTTCTTTCCAGTCTTGCACGTGGGTGCAGGGATCCAAGCACTTGGGCCATCCTCAGCACCTTTCACAGATGCATTGGCAGGGAGCAGGATCAGAAATGGAGCAGCTGGGACATGAACCAGCACCCATAAGAGATGCCAGCACCTCAGGCCACAGCCTAACCCACTGATCCACAGTACCGGGACCTGCTGGGTCTTTCTTGATGAAGATTCAGTAGGAGAGAGAAGCAATGTGGAATCCAGGAGTATCAAAATATCAAAATCACTAAAACTAGAGTCCTGTTTAGATTAATATGGATGTCTTTCCAAAGGCTGCCTCAAAGAAAAAGATAAAAATCATGTTTAGCTATTTAAAATAAGACAAAATTAGGTGAAGCTATATGGATGTACTGGACTCAAGGAAAGATTAATATAAATTTGACTAGGAGCTGGCCCTGTGGCATAGCTGGTAAAGCTGCCACCTTAGGTGCCAGCATCCCATATGGGCACCGGTTCTAGTCCGGACTACTCCACTTCTGATCCAGCTCTCTGGATCCAGCTCTCTCTGCTATGGCCTGGGAAAACAGGAGAAGATGGCCCGAGAGTTTGAGTCTCTGCACCCATGTGGGAAGACCTGGAGGAAGCAGCTCTGGCTGTTGTGGCCAGTTGGGGAGTGAACCAGCGGATAGAAGACCTCTCTCTCTCTCTCTCTCTCTCTCTCTCTCTGCCTCTCCTTCTCCCTCTGTGTAACTCTGACTTTCAAATAAATAAATCTTTAAAAAGTAATAAATAAAAATATAAATTAGACTACATCAAAAAATGAAAATATACTATACCAGTATCAACTCTAGACAGATACATACTTTGTTCTTCCATAATGCTTTTGACTCTGTGACACCTCACAATTTAACAGGCACTTGAGACTGAGCAGCTGTGTTGCCGTGTAACAAGGAACCACCAGTTACAGTCACTCACAATTCCATGGTCACATTCCAGGCTGCACAGCCAGACCCTTCCCGCCACCCTGCTTCTCCACCTTCACCCCAGCAAGGAGGTTCTGGTGGTTCTGAGTACAGTAAAGCAATTAATGTAAACTAAAGCTTTAAGGAAACAGTGTAATTTAGTGCAAAAATTCTGTGCAGCAAGTAGGGTCAGTCAAGGAAGCCCTTGCCTGGCCACGGGGTTCTCAGACAGACTTCCTCTACCAAGCCTGGCAGCCAGTCCCATGGGGAGTTAAGGCACGGAAGCCACCAATGAATCAAAGAGCTCAGCACACAGCATGGCAGGTGCTACTTTCTCTGTCCAGTTTGTCTCTGTTGTGTCTCCTTGTGGCATGCTCGCAGCTCCACAGGCCTCTGATCTACCTGGCAGGGCAGTTTCACAGGGGCCAAGTGCTCTTCCCTGCCCTTGGGTGGGGATGACAATGTGAGGTGAAGCAGTGTTGACCTACTTGCCACCCTCAAAATCAGGCCCTGTATCTCTGCAGGATGCCTGGGCATAGTGGTCGTCTCACTTCCCACCAAGGCCCACATGGCCACCCTGTCTCTAACCAGCTGTCACAGCACCACAGTGACCACCATATCTGCATGGCAGAGAGGCAGGAGCTAAGAGTCTGGGATTCCCTTCCCTGTGAGTATCCTCCGTGCCCATGTCTCTGCCCTGTAATTTTGCTTCTTACTCCCTAAATGGTTTAATAGTGACTGGGGCAGGACAGAGGAGCAGGGAGCCTGTGGCTTGCAGAGACCCAACCTTGGCATGCACTGATGTTCTAAATGGTCTGTTCATGTCCTCCAGGGGGCACTTCTGGGATTTTTGCTGTTTAAAATGTGCAATACATGAAAGAGTCAACTCTGGGTGTACACCAAAGACTAAAGCCACTCACACCCCCACCAAGCCACAGAGGAATCGAGTTGCCTCCCCAAAACCCGCACGGAGGACTTTGAGCACCTATTCAGTCCTCCCAGACTGCCCTGCAGCAGGTGCGCTGGGCTTCCATGCTCCAGCAGGCTGGCCTCTGCTGCAGGCATCTGTGGCTGCAAGCTGGACCATATCTAAGCAAACCGAGGTGACCCTGGAGCCTGGCTGGGACTTGGGACCCAAGTGGGTCTCAAGTTGACAGAGGAGGTCTGGAAGCTAAAGGAAGGCTCAGGCAGACAGGGTGGGGTGAACTGTGTGGCAGTGTGGTGTGTCCCTGAGGCTCCTGGGCCACACCCGCCTCCACCGCCAAGTCTCCAGGTGTGGACTGTGGAGGGGGAGGTCTCACAGAGGTTCTGGAAGTTCTGACTGGACCAAGGCATGCACAGCACAGGGCGCCTGAAACAGGGTGAGTAGCAACCACAGGCAGGGGTCACTGCACCAGAACAGGCACACAGGCAGGGTGACGGCAGACAGCCAGCAGGGGACAGTGTCTCTGTTCCAGGAGAATCTCAGGCCTTTCTCTCCCGTGCAGGACCTGGGCAGCACTGCTGCTGTGGGCTTCGGCCCTGGCCAGTGGAAGGGAGGGGAAAGGAGACGGCCTTGGGCTGCCCCGCCCCATCCGGAGAAGATGGGTCCTGTCAGCGAAGCACCCGCAAAGACCGTGAAGCGCCAGCCCAGCACCCTGACTAGTGGCAGGGTCACGTGGGTGCGGTAGAGGAGCAGCTCCTTCCTGAGGTTGAAGTCGGCTTGCAGGAGGCCCAGCAGCAGCAGGACCCACAGTTGTAGCCGGAAGTGCAGCAGAGCACGTGCGCCCAGGGACCACAGGCTGCCCTGTCTCTCGGGGTATCAAAAGGACACGCAGGTGGGAGCTGGGGGCTGGGCGGTGCACGAGGCTGCTCTACTTGGCCGCAGGCTGCTCAGACTTTCCTGCTTCCGGGCCGCCGATCTGGGTGACTGGGATGGTGATCTCCACCGACTGCGTGGCCGGCTTGGGCAGCGACGCTTCCACGGTGAGCGTACCCTCAGGGGACAGGGAGGAGGAGACCAGCGTGGGGTCCACGCCAGGGGGCAGCGTGTACTTCCGGGTGAAACAGCGGGCGAGGTAGTCGTGCTCATCCTGTCGCTCTTCGTGTTTGCCCGTGATCTCCACCACGCCGTCCTTGGTCTTGACCGTCAGCTCGGGCGCATCCTGGGCCCTTCTCCTTAAGGTGAGGCGGTAGCACTGAGGGCTTTAAGCAGGGGCATAAGGTGACCAGATGTGGGCCCACTGGAAGCCTCTCCACCCTGTTACTGGTGATCTGACTGGCAGCATGAGACCAAGCTGGGCAGGTGCTGCTGGCTCTGACCCGGCTCCTCCCTGCTCCCTATGCTTGGCTGAGAGCCCCTCCCAGGGACCAGGGGACACTGGTGCCAGGACTGCTGGCCCCTGGGAGAGTTCTGTCAGGCCTCAGGACCCACAGAGAGAAGACACTTCCTCCTCTCTGGAAACAAAGCTGCTCAATAGCTCCCTCAGTCCTTACTCCTCAGTGTGTTCAGGTCCCACGCACGGGGCCAGGGCAGGCCGACTGGGCCCCTCTTCCGTAGGGGTCCCGGGGCTTGGTGCTCAGAACACTCCTGTGAGGAGCAGAGTCAGAATTGGACCTGTTAAGTGCAGCTGTCAGCCTGAAGCCTGGATGCTTTTCTTCTTTCCAAGGAGGCTGCCTCGGCCAGCTCTCATCTAGGGGCTGTGAAGAGTCATTGGCTCCAAAAGCACTTTCATCAAAGTAGGATTTTTAATAAAGGAAAAATAAAAGTAACGCAAAGTTGAAGCACAATTTAAGAAGCCGGAGCTTCTATCCACCCATGAATACGGGGAGCACAGGAGCTTGTCTCGGATCTCAGAGTTCTATGAAGTGTCCCATCCTGTCTCTCTGTGGAGAGCTGGACATAAAATAGTAACTTGGTCAAATGTAGCACTCTAGTAATACAATACTCTAGTTAATAATTTGGGTAATACAGTGCTGCAGGCAGTTTTCTGTATTTAACCAATGCACTAGAACAGGGCAGCGTATTTATGTATAGAATTATGTACCTCAGCAGCAAAGCTATGGCTTACCAAGATTACAAAAATATTCCTTTATTTCAAACCATACCCCAGACAAATGATTGTTTTTTTTCTTACCTAGTAGGTGCCTTGTCTGACTAGAGGCCACTTTTGTTGGTGTTCCTAATGAAGAGGAGCTGCCTGAGCTCAGGTGGGCCAAAGTGCTAAAGTAGTGAGGTCTGCAGAGTGCGGAATGAACTTAGGAAGCGCAGAACCATGAAGCATCAGCTCTCCAACTCTCCCTCACTCCCTGAGTCACAGAAAAACAGCTATGTTTTCCAACTTTTTACCCAGAAGTTTGGAGAGAAGAAAACCTCAAGAGAAGTGTGATTTCTCCATGGTTTCTGGAAAGAAGTTATCTCATAGGTGCAGATACAAAATGATTGAAAGGTGGTTCCTGGGAAACACATGGATTGATACACAGACATTTTACTAAACTGGACAGAAATTTAGGCTGACAATTAAGATTTTTGTCTTTCCTCTTTCTGTAACTCTTTCTAAATAAATAAATCTTTAAAAATTTAATCTGGACAGTGCTGTGGCTCAATAGGCTAATCCTCCACCTGCGGCGCCGGCACACAGGGTTCTAGTCCTGGTCAGGGTGCTGGATTCTGTCCCGGTTGCCCCTCTTCCAGGCCAGCTCTCTGCTGTGGCCAGGGAGTGCAGTGGAGGATGGCCCAAGTGCTTGGGCCCTGCACCCCATGGGAGACCAGGAGAAGCACCTGGCTTCTGCCATCGGATCAGCGCGATGCACTGGCCGCAGTGCACCAGCCACAGTGGCCATTGGAGGGTGAACCAATGGCAAAGGAAGACCTTTCTCTCTCTCTCACTGTCCACTCTGCCTGTCAAAAAAAATTAATCTGGAGGTTTCACATAGCAATCCATTAAAGTGGTTATTTACATTTTGCAAAAATATTTGAAACTATAGTTACGTTGTCAAGTTTCTTCACATTATAAGAGGTGACTTTGAAAGCTGGTCTCAGTGTAATCTTTGCTACATTATTAATATACAGTTTTCAATCAGTCATTTAGCTGTGTCTGTGCAAAGGGATTTTGTAGAGACTGTTAATATTTACAGTCAGTTAACTTGAAGTAAAGGAGAGATCCTCAATAATGTGACTGGGCCTTGTCCTATCAGTTGAAAGTGTTAAGAGAGAAATCGTCACCCTAAAAGAGGAGAATTTCTGCCTCAAGACTGCAGCATCCAGTCCTGCCTGAGTTCCCAGCCTGCCCAGCTGCCCTGCAGACCCCCACTTCACAGGCTCCACATCACAGGAGTCAGTCCTTTGAAATCATGAATCTTGTATATCACACATGTCTGTTCTATTGCTTCTGTTTCTATGAAAAACTCTGACACAGTGGACAAATATATTGCATCATGATACTATTAAGAACAGAATGAAAGAAATGGTCAACGTAGCAAAAGAAATTGACTGCTTGGATTTTTAAACAACCATCTTAAGAATAGATATGTGGGTTGAGGAATTAGATAAGCCATTTTTAAAGATTTATATATTTTATTTGAAAGTCAGAACTACAGAGAGAGGAGGAAAGAGGCCTAGAGAGAGGAGGAGAGAGAGAGAGAAATCTTCCATCTGCTTGTTCACTACACAGATGGCAACAATGGCCAGAGCTGGGCCAGGCCAAAGCCAGGAGCTTCTTCTTCTGGGTCTCCAATGTAGGAAGCAGGGGCCCAAGAACTTGGTTCATCCTCTGCTGATTTTCCCAGGTCATTAGCAGGGGGCTGGATTGGAAGTGGTGCAGCCAGGACTCGAACCAGGCTGCAGTTTTACTAGCTACACCATGCTGCCATTAGGGTTTTTTTTAAGATTTATTTTATTTATTTGAAAGACAGAGTTACAGAGAGAGGTAGAGACAGAGAGAGAGAGAGGGGTTCCATCTGCTGGTTCACTTCCTACATGGCCACAAAGACCGGAGCTGCGCCAATCTGAAGCCAGGAGCCAGGAGCTTCTTCCAGGTCTCCCATATGGGTGGAGGGGCCCAAGGACTTGGGCCATCTTCTACTGCTATCCCAGGCCATAGCGGAGAGCTGGAGCAGAAGAGTAGCAGTGAGGACTAGAATCAGTGGCCATATGGGATGCTGGTGCTTCAGGCCAGGGTGTTAAGCCAGTGCACCACAGTGCCGGTCCTGCTGCCATTAGTTTTTAAAGAAGTAATGCAATACGAAAAGAATGCTAAAGTTAATTGGTTATTGCCAAGCACACATTTTTGGGTAGAATGGAGCAATAATTACATTGGAGAAAAATACATGGCTTTGTCAGTAGTGAAATATATCTTATTCTCCCTAAATGAAAATTTACTGGAAAGCATGGAAAATGTCTCAGAATGCTTTTCATAATAAGTACACAATAAATGATTAGAGAATGAAAAGAGTAATAAAGTTGCATGCTGAATATTAGTTATTCCACACATTATTGACTAGATGTCTTCTATATTCACCATTGTGCCAAGTTTTAGGAGTACAGGGGTAAGCATAGGGTCCTTCTCTAATGGAATCCTGTGGTGGAATGAGGTGAAAAGGTCATATCAAGATGGCCACTATGGTGAAAAGTTCATGCCAAGATGGCCACTGAGGTGAAAAGGTCATGCCAAGATGGCCACTGAGGTGAAAAGGTCATGCCAAGATGGTCACTGACAACAGAAACTGCCTGGCAACAGGCTGTGATTGGATGGCTTCAGAAACCACATGACAACAGAGGAAACCACATGACAACAGAGCCTGACTGATGGCAGGCCATGATTGGATGGTTTCAGAAACTGCCTGGTGACGAGAGCCTGACTGGCAACAGGCTGATTGGATGGCTTTGGAAACTGCCTTGCAACAGGCTGTGATTGGTTGGGGCATAGACCACCCCTTGACCGGATTGGCTGGTCTTGGTTATATAAGCTGTTGTACTAACTCAAATAAAGGAGTCTGTGGGCTGCTCGCCTCGGGCCTGCTTTCACCCAACTCCCAGGGTCTGTGTGGTGACTCCACACATCTTGCCCCCACTATGCTCCTCCTCTCAGAAACGAATCCACTGCAACATTGTTGAGAAATCAACGGCAACAGAATCCTATTGGACCCACGAACTGACAAAAGTGCTTCTGGAACACGAGAAAAGGAATTTATTGTCATGATTTATGTCAAACTCAGAAGGCAGTTTATTTCCCAGAACATTGAGTTTAGCTTAGTAACCATAATACCCACATACTTAAACCATTTGAGGGGCGATATGGAGATGAGTGGATAGTTGGGGTTGACAAACCGACACAAGCCTATATCCTGGAGTTAGGCTGTGTGACCTGGACAAATTGCTTAGTGTCTTTGAACCTCTGGATTCCCAACTATAAAATGAGAACCATACCTAACTGGCAGTGTGTGTGTTTGCATGCATGTGCACATATGTGTAGTGGTGTGGATAAATTACTGCTATTAGAGGAAGCAGCTATGTGCCTAGCATACAGAAATTTGGCAATAAATTTTAACTAAAAGGGATATACTCCATCTTTAAAAGCTACACAACTTTGGGGTGACAATTTTGTTTAGCAAAGTAACAAATTCAGGGGAGATTCCCTTCTTCATGACTTCGGTATGTGCTTTTTTAAAAATTATCTATTTTATTTATTTGAAGGACAGACTTACAGAAAGATGTAGAGCCAGAGAGAGAGGTCTTCCATCTGCTAGTTCACTCCCCAAATGGCTGCAATGGTCAGAGCTCAGCTGATCCAAAGCCAGGAGCCAGGAGCTTCTTCTGGGTCTTCCATGTGGGTGCAGGGGCCCAGGACTTGGGCCATCTTCTGTTGCATTCCCAGGCCATAGCAGAGAGCTGGATCAAAAGTGGAGCAGCTGGGACTCAAACCAGCGCCCATGGGATGCTGGTGCAGCAGGCCAGAGTTTTAACCCACTGTGCCACAGCACCAGACCCCAGTATGTGCACTTACCATTAGTTTATCCAAACAAAAATCCCCAAGATGTAATGATAACACATAAAAAGAAAAATTTTTAGGAAAAAATACAAATGTAGGCATCAAGTATTGGTAGTATAGGCTCATAAGGATCAGAGACTCTTAGAACTGAAACAAGTACTGGAAGTCATGTAGGTCTCCTTTTACAGAAGTTTTCAAAGCAGTAAACCCTTTCAATAGGCACTAAGTAGTTAGAGGCAGAGGGAGAACAACCACCAGGCCAGAGACACATTCTCATCTCTCTTTTACCCACAGTTTACCTCTGTACTTTAGATCCTTGTCTTTCAAAGGAATAAATGCCATTCTAAAAATCAGTGTTACCACTTAGGTTGTGTAAAAATAAAAAAGACAATGCCTTTTCCACCCTGGTGCTCTGTCAGAGAGGGTTTCTGTCCCCAGGATGCTCATCACTGTGTGGGAGGCCCATGGGAATCCTAGGGGGTGGGGCCAGTCAGTCTGTCATTCACCACATTGGCCCTTGTGCTAAGTGCTTTGCCTGTGCTTTCTCATTTAATCTTTACCCAGGACTCTTTGAGGCACACACTTTTATTTTCAACATCATCCACCTGGGTTAATCAAGGCTTAGGGAGGTTTGGGAGTGTATCAAGTCCATGGCGCTACCAAGTGGGAGGGTGGCATTTGAGGATGTTCAGTCTGGCTGCAGGGACCACAGAGATTTGGGGGTTTCTTGGCACTGCATATTGCTAAATCCTCATCTTCCACCTTACTATCAGGAGTCTCCCTGCCCATTCAGGATAAATGATGCTGAATGCACGACTGATTCTCTAGCTGTCTGGTGGGCTATCATAGTCACATCATTCATAACAAACCAGCCCAGCATCGTGTGCTGATGCAGCTGGAATGGGTG